TCAGGTCTGCTGGACACACCACAACATTTATCACCTTCTTTTTAGTGTGTCGCTGTGCAGACCACGCAGATTGACTATCCCTTTGGGTGTGCTCCGGCCAAGGAATGTCTGGAGTGTCACCTTGCAAGTATTTTAAATGTCTTCTGCAATTAGTTGAGCACCAGGCAGAGGAGGAGCTCAGAGCCGTCTGCTGTCTCTCTTTATTGCTGTATATATTTATTATATATATATATATATATATATATATATATATATATATATATATATATATATATATTGTTATACGGCCCACGGGCCCGTAGTTGCACCCTCCCCGTGCTAGGTAATTCTCTCTTTCTCTCTGTCTCTGTCTGTCTCTCTGGGTGCTGAGAGATGGCAGTCTGGTCAGTGTTTGGGATCACTTAGTTAGTGTCGTGGATAATGACATTCTTTCGTTCACACAAACACCATCTTCTGCCGCTACTTTGCTGTGGTTCTTGCTACGCTACTTGCTGTGGTTCCTGTCGCTACTTGCTGTGGTTCCTGTCGCTACTTGCTGTGGTTTCTGCTGCTACAGGTATGGTATATGAGAAAGATTAAGGTACACGGAAGAGGAGAAATTTTTTCCTGGATAGAGGCGTGATTGACAGATGGGCAACAGAGAGTTTGCATAAATGGGGAGAAATCTGAGTGGAGGCGCGTCAGGAGCGTCACAGGGGTCAGTGTTGGGACCTTCGTTGTTCACAATTTACATAAACGACATAGATGAGAGAATAAATAGGAACATAGCAAGTTTGCCGATGACACCAAAATAGGCCGCCGAATTCATTCCTACGAGGACATTAGAGCACTCCAGGAAGATTTGAATAGACTGATTCAGTGGTCGGATAAGTATCAGATGATTCACGGAATCGTAAAGACACGATTGCAAACAAACCCTACCACGATGAATTTATTGTAGTCAGCTGGCCCAGTGGCTAACGCGTCGGTCTGGAGTTTTATGACTCTGTGATTGCAGGTTCTAACTCCGCCCGTGGTATGGTATAAGTGGCAAATGCTGTTTAATATAGACTAATGCAAAGTTCTAAATATTGCACAGAAAAAATAACCAATGCCACATATAAACTAAATAAATGTAGATCTTTATATTAATGCTTCTATACGAAAAAGGGTTTAGGAGTTCTGGTTACCAGTACTCTAAGCAGACAACCGTGCATAAGTGTTCGCAATAAGCTAACAGAATCCTTGGTTCATATCACGAAATCAGTTAATAGGAGTCATCATAGATTATGATGCACTGTTCTGGTCACTGTATTTACTGAAATGGCTATAATGCTCCGGAAAACGTACAAAGGAGGATGAAAAGTTGATCAGGTGTAACAGAATCTGAAGATTAAGACACATGTTCAACAGGTTGGGTAATCTTTATGATGAAATGTTTCACCTACACTGTAGAATTCTTCAGTCAAATACAGAGGCAGCAGGTGTAGTGATTGGGATGATGTAATCAGTTCTCACCAACCTTGGAGAAACTGTACGTAAGAGTCTTTTTCCCACCTCTTGTCGGTATTACCATTACCAATTCTCAGTGTGTTCTTAAGTGGATGTGACTTGACCTGCCTAGCATGTGCCAGTAGGCTGCTGCAGTGACTCCTTTTTTGTTCTATTGTACGCCCTGGGTTAATTCGTATCAAGATCCTCTGCTTCGACTCACTGACTAAGCTTATAAGCCACTTCTCCACTATATGCGTACTTTCTTCAAGACTGGTGGACTCTACCTATCGATTCCAGGTGAGGACTTGATTACATCAGACCCCCCTCCACCTCTCTTTACACTTTCTGCTTTGTTTTGGACTGAAGGAAAAAACCATGTGTGCGCGAAAGTTTTCTTTAATAACAGATTACCATATGATTGCATAAGTGTTTCAGTCTTCAACTTGTGGTTTCAGACATTTGATGACAATGGATGCCTTGCCAGTGTGTGGGGGGTAGGGGGAGGGGAGGGGAGGAGGGAGAGGGGGTGCTGACGACAGGGGCAGGATATCAACACAACAACAATTACTGGTGAAGTTGTTGTGGTTCTCGGTCACCCGTGAACAACAAAAGCAAAAAAAAGGAAGCAAAAACAGTTTTACATGGCGGCCAGAAATGTGCACACTTTGACACGTGTTGTGAGGATACTTGCCTCTCTAGGGGGGATACCGCCAGGTATACCTCTCTAGGGGGGATTACATCCAGGTGTACCTCTCTGATGTCGGGATACCTCCAGGTATACACCTCTGGACAACTTCCGTTATACCTTGGGGGATACCTCCAAGTGCACCTTTCTGGAGGATACCTACATATATTACCTCTAGGGATACCTCCAGGTAATATTCTCTGGGGGATACATCCATGTGGGGGATACCTGAATGCCTGACTGTGAGGAATAAGTCACTGTAGGGACTACCTCTGTGGGGGTATACCTTTAGGGATGCCCCCTCACCAGCCAAAGTATCCCTCAAGGGTGAATTCCTGAGAATTCTCCATAAAATATGTGTGTGTGCGCGATCACCTTTTTGTGGTTGCAGGGGGTCGGTTCATCCGTCTGGCCCGTCTCTGTGTGTGTCTTGGGTGTCACAGTCTTGCTGTATCTTGGGGTCACATATTGGGGTCACAGCACTGGGTTAAGGGACCCCTCCTATCTTGGCCGCATTCTGTCGGATCACCTTACCTCCCTACCTACCACCACTACTTTCAACCACAGTCACCACCAATCACAACCACAATCACCTTACCCTGGACAACCACAGCACCATTAACGCCATATACCAGGGCATATAACCACAGTCACCAAGTTACACGCTATTTATAACAACCCACAATCACACTACGTACTAATTGCATACCATCGTCACCTACCACCATCACAACCCACAATACATCCACTACCATTCTCGTAGACAAAATACTACACAATCACCACTTCCCAACCACAATCTACCGCTACTTCAACCAACTCTTAGCCTTACAACCACAGTCTACCACTACAACTCATCATAATCACCACTACCTACATTTATCTACTCAACCGACAAAGTCACTCACCACCATCACAACCGACAATCACCCACTACCACTTATACAATACCAATCCACAATACCACTACAACCACGTATCACGCACCACCACTCACAACCACCACAATCACCACTACCAATATTACAACCCACAATCACCACCACTCCATCACAACCACAGTCACCACTACCATTATACAACCACAATAAATACTACCACATAACAACCAACAATTACCCACCACATCAACAACCACAGTCACCACCATACCAACACCAATCACCACCATTCATCACAGCCACAATCACCACTACCACTATCCTTCAACCACAAATAACCATAAACCACTACTACAACCACATTCGCCACCCACCA